AGGAAGATGCAGGAGAAATGAAAAGGATGGTTTGTGGGGTAGGCGGTGTGTTGTCAAAGTATTGTATGTGAATACGTTTTCTATGTCGACGGAAGACAAAAATAAATAATCTTTTAAGATTTTTCTCTCTTTCTGCATTGGTTGCACTGACATTTCCCTTTTATGTTCCAAAATAACAGGTGTTTGCCCTGTCCTGCTTAGAAGATCAGAAGCCCGACTGCATGTACAATGTATTGAAAGCTGTCATGTAGATTCAACAGTTTTAGAAGCTAAAGAATTCAAATGTTTTTTTTAAATGTAGTCATGTAGATAGAATATAGGCTATATTACATTAAACTAATATAATATCAAAATAGTTTATTATTTACACCACAGGAAAAAACATGTCATTTGCAAATCGTTTACAGCTGTAACCCTTTAATATTGCTATTAATTTGTAATATTTTGAAGTATTCAAAATGATTTTACAGAAGAGAATTTCAGGACAGGTTTGGGGTTTGAAGCTATTCCCTTTCCTTGAACAAAAGGAGTGCTCCTGGACAAAACCCAGCCCTGCCTCAGCAGCTTTTGTTTTGTTTTGTAACAAAACCTTCCCCCTGTTTTCAGGTTGGTATTTAGGCCACGAGCTTAGAATAGGCGCCGGCTGTATCAGAGCAGGTGTCCACAGGTAGTTGACCAGAGGTACGAAAAAGAGCCAGGCCAGCTTGAATGTCGTTGTCAATGTTTTCACTCGGATTTCTTTAGACATCCTGTACAAAGATGAGATTTTTCAACACAGAACAAAAGAAGCCAGATTATCATCTGTCTGTCTTTCGGGATACGTTGGGTAACATCGGTTTAAATTAGCTTAGGCGTATTATAAGGAACAAGTGTATTGGTGCACAATCAGAAAAATATTAAACTAATTAAAACACACTTTCAAAATAAGAGTTCGTGTTTTGGAAATGCGCTAAATGAAAGCTTAGTCACCACAGTGGTGGTAGTAGAAGCCAGCACAGCATCGACTTTCTGTGTCTGCTAGCTCCGTGCTAGCTTCTTGTGCTTATCCAATTTGCAAACATTAGCCTTCAAATTTAAATCTTTGTGATACAGGTTTTGAACAAATTACAGGATTAGATGTGTCAAATATAAACGATGTACAAACATCATCTCCTTATGGACGCCAGGAGTAGAAGGAGTTTTATGTAAGTAAATAGAAATGTAAGCATTTTTATACACTGTCCTTTATACGTGATCATAAGATAGAGAACCGAATACAAAAAAAATCTTCTTTTAACACTCGATCCTGCCCAGGCATGTCACTGCTCTCTGTAAAGTGTAACACCGCCATCTATGTGCCACAGTCGTGAACTGTCAGTGTTTATCCTGCATCACGTTGCTACCGCTGCCTGTGTGCGTCCGGACGCCTCCGCCTGGTCGCGCCTGTCAACTGGAGGAAACTCCTCCCCGCAGACAGCGCGTCCTGTCGCCTCTCCAGCGCAATGGTCTCCTGGATCATCTCTAGGATCGTGGTGTAAGTCATATTTTACTGTATTATTCCTATTTGTCATTTCAGTTCATAGGTTCGGTGTTATGTCTACTTTATAAGGCACAGGAGCGGCGCGCGTTCACAAGCCCCCTCCCAAGAACGTGTGTAATATTTAAGCAGCAGCAGGCGTCAGTCCGTCAGGACAGCAGATGTCTGTCTATTCGTTTTTGACTGACAACAGCGTGAAATCCAGCGGATTATACTTTGCCAATAAAAAAATATATATCAGGAATTCTGCGCCGGGCCTGTGCAGCTACTGTATATTTTTCCCAGCTGCCTGACACTCTTTGTGTTTACCAAGTGGCTTTTGCATGTAACACACAAAGAGCTGACGTGGTTGGTGGAAATATCTGCTTGTCACCAACAACGGCGATCATAATGGTGATTCAGGATCAAAAGCGTCTTTCAGTAGCAAAAAAAAAAAAAAAAAAAAAAAAAAAAAAAATAAAAAATACGT